AAACCTTAGTTACTAGTTTCCCAGGAAGCTGGAAGAGTAACAGTAGTATACTGCAGGTGCTTGTGGTCTTGGCTCTGATCCAGTCTTCTCCTTTGTAAAATAAAGATTATAATCCCCTTTTTCTAAATTTGATATGAGTAATAAAAGAAGTTGTGTAAAAGAAAACACACTGTAATGGGTGCAAACTAACATTAGGTAATTTTTCTACACACAAAGCATACCATAATAGTGAACACTTTGATACTTCTTATTATGTTCCAGCATTTTTAACAGTATTTTAAAAAATTATCTATTTGTAAATTTTCAAGCTCAAGAGTAGAGAGAATAGTTTTTTTTTTTTTTCGATGTTGTAACAAGCAACATTGGCCAATCTTTTATCACCTCTACTTTTCTCCTCCGTCCCAAATTATCTTGGAGCAAATTTCAAGACTCTATACTCCCATATGCATTTTTAAAAAATTAAGATTCTTAAAAAATAACAATGAATGCATCTAAAGTATGAGAATTTTTTATATTATCAAGTCAGTATTGACATTTTACTAGCTGTCTCATATTTCATCCAGTTAAATTGTTCTAGTGAGGCTCTCCTAAAAAGTCCACATACTGCATTTGAAGGACATGTCTCTTGGTCCATATATATTGCAATTGGTTGATATGTCTTCTGAGTCTCTTTAATTTCTAGGGTACCACTCTCTCAGGCAGTTATCTAAGTGCATTACATGTATGAAGTCACATAATCCCTCTGAAATACTATGAAATAGGTATCATCATTAACCCCATTTTACTGATGAAGAAACTGAGTAATAAAGCAGTTACTACAACTGTGATTTACCCGAGTTCTCTCAGTTATTAAGGGTCAAAGCTAAGATCTAAATACATGAATCTTATCCACTATATTATATATTTCAAGTAGTACACTGGTCTTTAAAAAAAAAAAGCTTCCAAAGTGTGTATTGTGGCATGTTAGTTACAGATGTTATCAAGAGTTTTGGTTAAAGTGGACTAATACTCAAATAATTATATAACATGCTTTATAATAAAGAGGTGTGGATCCTTACATTTTCTTTCTTTCTTTATTAAATATTTTTTAGTTGTTGATAGACCTTTATTTATTTGTATGTGGTGCCAAGAATCGAACCCAGTGCCTCACACATGCTAGGCAAGTGCTCTACTGCTGAGCCACAACCCCAGCTCTATTAATTAATTAATTGATTGGTTTTGGTATGTTTCAGTGGCTTTTTAAAATCTTGCTCCACTCAGGGGCTCGGAAGGCTAAGGTAGGAGGTTTGCGAGTTCAAAGCCAGCCTCAGCAAGGCACTAAGCAACTGAGTGAGACCCTGTCTCTAAATAAAATACAAAATAGGTCTGAGGATATGCCTCAGTGGCTGAGTATCCCTGACTTCAATCCCTAGTACCTGACTCTCACCCCAAATTATGTCTAGATGGTTGTAGTGGCACATTCTGGTGATCTCAGCAACTCAGCTGGCTGAGGCAATAGAATCACAAGTTCAAGGCCAGCCTCAGCAACTTAATCAGGCCCTAAGCAATTTAGTGAGGACCATGTCTCAAAAAGGGATGGGGATGTAGTTCAGTGGTTAAGAACCTCTGAGTTCAATTCTTAGTGCCCCCCCAAAAAAAAATATTTGCAAAATACCTAAATGGTAAGGAAAATATAAAAATAAAACAACTCCTATTTGTACTTCCAGAGTTAAATATAATTACTTTTTAAAGATTTATTATTTATTTATTTGCTTTTTTATTGTTGTTATTATTATTATTATTTTGCATGTGTGTGTGTGTGTGTGTGTGTGTGTGTGTGGTATTGGGGATTGAACTCAAGGGTGTTTAACCACTGAGTTACTTTTCAAAAAATTTTTATTGGGACATTAAGTTCCTGAGGCTGGTCTTGAACTTGTGATCATCTTGCCTAAATCTCTCTAGTCTCTGGGTTTACAGGTGTGGGCTATCACACCTGGCTGAGGATGACTTATTTCTCACAGTTCAGGACAATGAAATAGAGGTTAAGAGCCATGTTAGATTTAAGTGTTTTAATGTAAAATAATATTCCTAATTATGTGAACAATGTGTGACTTATATGAACTAATTATGTGAATTTAGACACAGTTAATATCTCTAAGTTATAGTTTTTCCCACCTATAAAAGGTATAATTACAGTGTCTTATAGTATTGCCAGAAGAACAAACTGTAAATGCCTAGTTTGATTTTTTTTTTTTTTTTGTAGTACTGGGGATCAAACCCAGGGCCTCATGCTTGCTAGGCAATTACTCTACCATTGAGCTATATCCTCTACACTTTTAAATTTGATTTACTTACTTATTTGGTACTAGGGATTGAATGAACCCAGGGGCACTCAAACACTGAACCACATTCCCAACTTTTTTTTTAATTATTATTTTTTTAGATGTTGATGAACCTTTATTTATTTATTTATATGTGGTGCTGAGAATTTAATCCAGTGCCTCACAGAAGCTAGGCAAGCACTCTACCACTAAGCCACAAACTCCAGCCCCTCCCAGGTCTTTTTATAATTTATTTAGAGACAGGATCTCCCTAAGTTGCTTAGGGCATTGATAAATTGCTGAGGCTGGCTTTGAACTTGTTATCCTCTTGTTTCTGCCTCCCCAGTCACTGAGATAACAGGCTTGTGCCACTGTACCTGGCTTAAATTTTATTTTGAGACAGGGTCTCATTAAATTTCTCAGGCTGGTATCAAATTTGTAATCCTCCTGCCTCAGACTCCCCAGTTACTGGGAATACATACCTGCACCACAGCTCCCAGTTATGTGCTTAGCTTTAATGCCTGCACATTATAAATATAATGTAATTATATGTACATATAATTTAATTAAATTATAGTAGTGTATATTTAGAAGACACAAAGACTTTATTATCTAAGGCAAAATTCAGTCATCAAGTTGTAAGCTTGTGTATGCAGTCTTTTTTGGGCAATTCAAATATTAAATGAGCAATCTTTTTGCCTTCATGTTATTTTGTATAGAACATAGAGTAATTTGAGAAAAGCTTAATAAGCCAGAGGATAAAATACATAAGTGTTTGTAGCAGAATCATGAATGGAGGAAGAAAGCTGAAGTAGGCTTCCTAGTGGCATTTTTCTGTCTCTGATAGATTGTTGTGGAAGGGGCAGAGGATATGTTTTATTTATTTATTTTGGGTACTGTGGAGTGAACCCCAGGACACTTAATCACTGGGCCACATCCCCAGTCATATATATATATATATATTTTTTTTTTTTTAAATTTTTTTTTTTTTTTTTTTTTTTGAGATAGGGTCTCATTAAGTTGCTTAGGGCCTGGATAAGATTGCTGAGGCTGGTCTTAAACTTGTGATCCTACTGGCTCACCCTTCCAAGTCACTGGGATTACAGGCATGTGTCACCACAACTGGCTAAGGATGTGCTTTAAAAAACATTCTATATGACACTCAGGACAAGATATAGTTTAAAAGCATTTCACATAAATTAACTCTTTTAGTAATTGCAACAGCCTTATTGGGTAGCAGGAGGAGTGTCTGGTCCCCGCCCCGCCTTCCGCGACCAAGATTCCAGAGAACAGGGCCCTTGCACAAGTTTGTAGAGCAGGAAAAGCGAACAGGACCCACATCTTCTGATGTTTATTTGTCAGTTGCTAGATCACTTATCCTTTTATGTGTCCACTCACTGAGAAGAGTAGTTACTGAACTCCAGGATGATATCAGGGCAAAATATTAACCTTCCTTCAATCTCTATAATAATTTATAAACTGCCTCGGGGAAAAGAGAAACTCATCAAAGAAATTTCTGAGAAAACAAGTTGCTCATCTGTATAGAGAATGCAGTAGAATGGGAAAAGATCAGAGTACCAGAATTAGTGTGTAAATTGGAATTGACAGTGTAAGGTGTGCACGAGGGACTCTCCAGACAGGGAGCAGTGGGATGACACCCCAGGTAGACCGCAAGCGGCACGGAGCGCAGCGGCGGGGAGGCGGCTGGAGGTGAGTGCGCAGCGGCTGGGCGTTAGTAGGCTTCAGCGGGAGGCAGCCGTGCGGTTGCCCGGGTGGAGCGCACACCCCGGCGGCTCGCCGCTCGGAGCCGACCCGCTCCTCCTTAACCCGCGCGGGGAGGCGGCGGCCCGGCGGGCGGGGAAGGGGGAGGGGCGCGGAGTGCGGCGCGGAGGCCGGGGAGGAGCCGGGGCCTGCAGCGGAGCCGAGCCGAGCCCGAGCCCGAGCCGAGCCCTGACACTGTCCGTCCGCTTTCTGGCTCCCCGGGAGCCCCGACTGGACGGAGCCCGAGAGGTGGCAGCGCGGGGAGCCCCACGCGCCGAAGGCAAAGGACGGGACGGGACAGGACTAGAGGAGGCGCTGCCGCCACAGTAGCCAGTGACGGGAGTCGGAAGCCGCGGCCTCCCGGACCCTGCTGCCCAGGCCAGCCAGGGGAGAGCGGGGAGTACGAAAACCCCACCCTCTGGGACACCCCCAGGAACGTGGGCGGGAGCGGGGACCAAAGAACCCTCTCTCCTGTTGGAGGGAAGACCCCAAGCCCCTTGGGTGAAGGAAAGAAAAGCTCGTGGTAGGAGACGCAGCTCGCCTTCCTAGAGGCGAGGAAACCCCCATAGTGGCTCCGGAGAAGACCCCCAGAAGCAGAAAGAGGCGATCCTTCCTTAAGGAACGGAGGGGGACCGCCCCTGCGAGTCTCCACCCTCCAAACACACTCTAAACAGTTCAAGACTTTTGAGGCAAAGAGAAAGGGGAATATGCCAATGGAGTAGACACCCTCCATCCCACTCAGTACTCACGGAGGAGAGGCGTCCTTAGGTTCAGTAGCAAAGTACACTATAGTGAGAGGAGGAATTGGCTTTCCGCCTTTCTCCAGAAAGGCGGAAACTTCCTTTCACCTAGACAGTGGAACCAGGTAGAGCCCCTCCGCTCAGATTTCCAGCAGACAGAAAGAACCCTCCGCCCCCGAAACATTCAGTTTGGGGGCGAGAGGGACTCCCCCAAGGGGGAGGAGACAACTCCTGGTTGGGAGAGGCTCCTCCCCTCCTCCCCAGGGTAACTGGCAGGGTGTGGGGGGTGTGCCACCTTCCCCAGGTAGGACCTCCTTCTCCTCCTCCACCCATTCCCCCCTCGGCTCCTCATCCTCAGGGGACCCAGTTCCCCTCACAAGCTTGGGAGGTTCAGTCAAGGACAGGAAGACCCACTGAGGATGAGAACAGTCACCTGCCTCTGAAAAGGGGAATCCCTCCAACCTCAAACTCCAGTACCAGGTGGTTTCCTCCCTTTGCCGGGGGACTGGTGGAGACAGGTTAGTGTTTTCTTTTATTTTTCTCTGTCATCTTTAGGCACCAGTGGGCTTAGGGGCCTGAAATGATAGATCTTGGGTTTCGTTACTGGGGAAAGTAGAGTGATAACTCAGAATCCTCTGGAAAATGTGTCTGAAGGAACTTCTTAATTGGAACCTACATCTTGTTGCAAAAACTCAGAGAAATGGGTTTGTTAGTGTTTGGGAGGACTAAAGGGATGAATCTCATTTAAGGTCCCTAGGGAAGTGGATGTTTTCATACTGAGGACAACTGGATCACTGATAACAGTTGCTTTTTCAGAACTGCATGCATACTGTGTAATAGTGATGGACCTAACCCAACTGGACTCCATAGCACCCTCCTCCATCCTTGGGCCTTTTCACCTGGAGAGTGGGCCCTCATCAAAGTCATGGTGGCAGCTCCTGTCCTAGGCTTGTCTAGGGCATGCCTAGTTCAGCTAAGTATCTGCCAGAAGTGTCCTTTCCAACCCACTGTGATTACTCTTTACAAGCAAGAGAAACAGTCTGTCCCCACTAACCCTACTTCAGATACTGGGAGGACTCCTCTCCTGACATTCTCATTCCTAATTGGATGTATCTCTCTCCCTACAAAATCCACAGGGAAAATATGAATCCCCTGAGGCAAAAAGACAGTGTACAGAGGACTGACATTCCTGAGTTAAAGTTCTTCACAAATACTGGATCTGCCCCAGTCCTGTACAGTTCTCCTGCCCTTCGCTGACAGTTCATCAGCAAATCAGGTCCTTGATAGAGAGGAGGGTTGCTACTAACCCCTCTCCAATCTTCCATCTGAATAGTTGACCAATAGGAGATTTTACCTCTAAGGAGTCCATTAGTTTCTTTCCAGAAAAGCACCTAATAGTCTTTATCCTCTGTTTCTTGTTCAGTTCAGGTCCCTGGAACTTTATGTTTAAGTTTCCCACATAAGATAGGAAATTATCAATGTTCAGAATCTTCAGAAAAAGCAGGAAAAAGGTGCTAGGAAATTTTCCTAGATGAGCCTGGGCTGTGTTTTTAGTAGATCTCTGTCTTTCAACCTGAGGTCACTTAACTGGGTGCTAGCTTTCCTGCTTCACCATTGGAACATACCTTATCTTCAGTAAGGGGCATTGTACTCCACAGCAAGGCCATGTGAAAGGCTTCCTCCCCTTGGGATATTTTTTCCCCTTTCTGTCTAGGTTGCTGGTGGTCTGCTTAAGTCCCTAGGTATGTCTACTTGTTCCTGGAAGATACCTGTTGTTGGTGGTATATGAGACAGGGCTATACCCCACAGATTTGTATGGCTGTGTGGGTAGAATGTTGCACATGTGTTTCTTAACTGAGGTGAGTGTTGCTCCCGTCTTTTGTCAGTGTTTTGCATAAGTGTGTGGAGAACAGGGACATGTGCTTTTCAGACTATACTCCAATTCCCTAGAGTTGTGTTTCTGATAGGCCTCTAGGAGCAGATGATCTGTTGCAAAGACCTGGAAAAGGTGGTGGTTAAGGATGCCCAACTGGGAAGAAAGGCTTGGCATCCCCCGGTCAGTGGGAGCCTCATTCCACGTAGCAGGGAAGCCCAGTCTCAGGTTGGGACCATTTCTTCTAGGACCAATAAGAGAGCTTCATCCCTGATACCTCTAGTCTCAAAAGGATGAGAATCCCTGACTTCTAAGTCTAGAACTGCCTCCTCCACTTTTCAAACAGTCTGTTTCTTCCAAAGCACTTTACCAGATGCTGGAGAGCAGCTTCTGAATAGTTTAGAGAGAAGTGTATCCTAACAGCTCCAGATATACTACTATTGCACAGTTTAACTGGCCCTGCTTGATCTGAGTTTCCCTAACCCTCTTTGCCTCTAAGGAATCAATTAGAAGCAGTTGGCTGTTGGGTTGGATTAATTAAGAGGTAGAGATTGCTATTTTCCAGACCATGTCTTACAACTACAACTAGTTCCCCCTGAAAGATAAGAGATAGTATTTCCCCTATGCCTTCATCCTTGGGGTTTTTTCAATCTTAGTATTATTCAGTATGGGGGTATGATCTCTAAAGGAAAAGTTTGTAATTCTGACATTGTATACTTGGTATTGGCTTGCTGATTCCAGTCTTACCTGTTCATGGTCTGTCAGTTCTCTAATTTTTAAATTCTAATATTCTCTTTGCACACATGCTGAGCCTACACTTTACTACTATGCTACACTTCCAGCCCACTAATAGTCTTTATATTTCCCCATTCAAAAATAACAGCTATACTTAGGTAGCACATACAAAGTACTTAAAAATACTAACTTTAAATCCCTATAACAATACTTATTGGTACAATAATTGTCTGTTTTATAGGTGAAGAAACTAAGACACAGAGAGATTAGGTGATTTGCTTGAGGGGCACAGTCAGAGGTAATGGAGCTGGCATTGAAACACAGGCAGTCTGACTGATATGAGGTACACTTAGCCATTGTCTTATTAGTTTTGGAATTATGAACAGGGTAGAAAGTTATTACTCCTTAACACCTGATTTTGGCACTACACAGAGAATAATTACAAGTCATTGAGATAAAATGAGAAGTAAACTGTGTCAGTTATTTTGGATCTTACACATCTCACCCAGGATTGGTCTTTAGCTCTCACAGAATGTGTTCCTGTTTTTCTCTGCCTTTCCCCTGGTACTGTAGTCCTTATTAGACGTCCTGTGGATATGAAGGAGCCTGCCCTTTGGCTGCCTTTCCCCGTTTCTGCGGGTATTTCCTTTCAGTCTTCCAGCACACACGGAAGAATGTGGCCTGACTCAGGTTCTGCCCAAGCCCAGTGGCACAAGGCCCACCTGGAATGAGAGGTCTGGGTAACTAGGTTGGTTGGACTCAGAAATGGAACTACCTCTTGTTTGCCTTTCTAATAATAGCCCTGAACATTAGCCTCGTGCCATTATTTTGGGGAGTGTGGAATGTGTGGTAGCCACGAGCTCATTAAGCTTCATTCCCTTCCCTCCAGGGATAAAGCTTTGGCAGGGTTGATGACTTCATCTCTTATTGAAGGGGAAACTGAGGTATTAAGACTTCATCAGAGAGCAAGGGATTGTTAGGGACACTCTGAGTCAGTGGCAGAGTTGCCAATACAGCTGAGGAACCTCTGTCTCCTAAGTTCTATACATGAGGCTGCCCTTCAAGAATGGGGAAATGAATGGGGTGAGGATGTGGGACAGGTTTTAGGAGAGTGGTGCTGGAAGACCAGAAGGATCTGACCCTGCAAGCTTCTTATAGCTGGTAAGATTGGGTATATTTTGAGTACTGGGTTTTCTATCTGGAGAACTGATTGGGAGGGTCCAGGAGAAAGGTTAAATTTAACCTCAGTGACCTAAACTGGTGCTGGGGTAAGGGTATAAAAGAGCACAGAACAACTAGTAAAAGGTTGATTGCTTCCATTCAGAAGTCATGGTGATTGGCGTGTGTCAAAAGGATTCTCTAAGGACTCTAAACACTTTAAATTCACTCTCATGCTCTTTTTCAGTTTTGAAAGAGTTTCAGATGAAATATCAACTGGAGATCTTTGTGCTCTTAAGATGGGTACAGTGGCACATGCCTGTAATCCCAGGGGTTCAGGAGGCTGAGGCAGGATGATCTCAAGTTCAAAGCCAGCTTCAGCAATTTAGCAAGGCCCTAAGCAACTTAGCGAGACCCTGTCTCTAAGTAAAATCTGAAAAAAAAAGGCGGGGCGGGGGGGGGGGGAGCTGGTTAAGCACCCCTGGGTTCAATCCTTTGTATAAATAAATAAATAAGATTTCCTAGGGATCTTCAGCAGAAATTAAGAATGAAATATACCTGTAGCCTCCACATTTGGGAGCTTGGGACTTGAGTACAGGAGTTTGAGGCCAGCTTGGGCAACATAGTGAGAACTTGTCTCAAGGAAAGAAAATAGGGTTAAACTTCTTTAAGGATCTCTTCTTCTGGGCAGGACCCAGGAAATCCCTGGTCATTGAGAACCTGCTAATTGACATGTTGCTCTTCAGCTGGGGAAACCCAGCTATGGGACTGAGATATTGTCTAAATTCCCTGCTATAGCCCAGAGGCTGGGAGAAGATATGTGGTTGCCTGGAATGATTAAGTGTCTCTATTATTTTCCAGGTTTCCATGGTTTTGGGCAAGGTGGTGGTATTAGGATGAAAAGGAAGATGATGGGAAGAGGAGCTAAGGATAAAGGGGAAACCTTTTATGATGTTATTTATAGGCCCCCCTCCCCCATATTTTTTTCTTCTGTCAAACAATTCTTGTGTTGCAATTGGGTCTTTGACTGCCCAGGCCCCTGAGGCACTAAGGTGTTTTCTTTAGCCTCGGGAATGGGTGTGTTACTGGGTGGCCACTCTGATCTGTACTTGTGTGTACAGGCAGATTTTATGGATGGGACCTTGGAGAAGAGGGGAGTGAGAATGCTGACCCTTAGGGGAAAGAGTAGGTGTCAAGGACAGAAGAATTACTACTTAAAAGAGAGCCTGAAAGATGTACTGGGGTCAGGAGAAGGGTTGGGGGGAGTCCTATCTGAAATTGAGTTTTGACCTGCAAAATATGTAGAACTGTGTGTACTTGTTTGTATATGCTCATGCATGTATCTGGCTGTAGATTTAGACATCACCTATCTAATATATTTCTGTCCAGGATCTGAACTCAGACATTCTAGACCTGACTCCTCTAGAGCAATGTCCTGGTGGGACTGAGGGAAAAAAAAGCCAGCTGGAATCTGGCAGCTGTGCAGGCACAAACCTGTTAGGCAGCAAGTGCTTAGGGGGTTGCTGGCATCATCTCTAAGGGAGTGCCAAATGGCTACCCAGTGGTCCTTGCCAGCCTTTCTGGACCCCGTAGTACAGATATCACCCCTAATTCTTCACCTTCCCCCACCAAGATGTCACTGTAGCTACACCTCTCTGGCAGCAAGAGCACCCAGGCAGTGTGGTTGGCAGTTGGGCGTGCAAACATCAAGCGTGGGCGGTCTGGCAGCCTTAGGAGTTTGCATGGAGGTGCGACGAGCCTGCGTGCCTGGCTGGGAAGGAAGGGGGGAGGAGGAGGGTGGGGAAGGGGAGCCGGCTCTTAGCCCCAGAGTGGCTATTTTTAGTCAGGCTATCTGATTGTTACTGATGCGCACACAGCTGGGTGTCTCCCTAGCTCTGTTAAGCCCAGCAGGCTGAGAGGTGGGAGGTTCTTGCTGATGATTTCTTCCTGGTACTAGTGTCTGTGGGCAGAAGCAAGCAAGGGGTAGCTTTAAAGGTGTGAGGGTAGCAGTGTACTCAAGATCTGTTTCTTCTGTGTGACTTTATGCTCTGTTGGTAATGTATGCTATATATCTAATTGTGACCTTAGTGTATGTGTCCCATTGTTTATCTGTCAATTTTGTATTTGGTCTTTGCTGGTTGTCATATATAATTTATATCTGGGATATGTCTAATATGTTTCGTAAGCACATGTGTCTGGGATAAAAAGGCTGAATGCTCATTATGAATGTGATATGAAGCAACTTTAAAAATGTTGGTATGTGCTTCATTAGTATACATCTTTGTTTACTCGGACTGTTTTTTCTTTACATGTACACTTGTGCTATCTACCTGTGGATATGTATGCAAATATAACAAGTGTCATATAATTGGAGAATGGACTAATTTTACCTGCTTAGTAGTAGTTTTTTTTTTTAATGTATCCCTGCAAAGTTCTGAAATGTTATGTTGTAAGGCTGTATGTAAGGACAATTGAGGGCATATCTCAATTTGGTGTGAGGTTTGGTGTCTGGTCTTGCCTGCAGGGAGATGCCATGTGGGGATGCTTTGCATTAAGATGTACGATAAGTAGCAGTTGGTCTTCTGGTATTTGATTGATGACATATCTGCCTGGGAGTTCAGGTCACTGGTTGAGGGCCGTCCCAGGAAAGGAATTGCCTATGGAATTATAGTGGAAGAAATACTTCCCTTAAACATTAGGAATCTGGTATTTCTTTTCCCTAGTCATTGGAGGTAACACTCATTTATTTTTCTGCCCACCTTTGTCCTCTTCTCCGCAGAGCCCAGAAGTAACATGGCTTCTGACCTAGAAAGTAGCCTCACTTCCATAGACTGGCTTCCCCAGCTGACCCTCCGAGCTACCATTGAGAAGCTTGGGAGTGCCTCCCAGGCTGGAACTCCAGGGGGCAGCCGCAAGTGTTCCCCAGGCTCACCCACAGATCCTAATGCCACCCTGAGCAAAGATGAGGCAGCAGTCCACCAGGATGGCAAACCCCGATACAGCTATGCTACACTCATCACCTATGCCATCAACTCCTCTCCAGCCAAGAAGATGACCCTCAGTGAGATTTACCGTTGGATCTGTGATAACTTCCCCTATTACAAGAATGCTGGCATTGGTTGGAAGGTAGGACTGCTTCTAGAACTTATTTTTAGCCTTTGTTTTCTCTTTTTCTGTACCTGTTTCCTTTCTACAATCTAGTTCAGTTTGCTCTGCCTTGTCTCAAAGATACGTCAATTTAAAAATCTCATATCTTTTACCTTTTTCAGAGTTGAATGATTTTCTTAAGATATATCAGGGAAACTCCAGTGATGCCAAGCCATTAAGTATAGTTATGGATGCTGTTGTACATCATACCCTCTTTTCTTCTGATTCCTCAAAAAGGACACTCATTCATTTCACAAATATTTATTGCCATTCTACCATGTTCAAGTCACTGTGCAAGGCACAGCATTACTCCCTCCTACCTAGAGGTAGGAAACCCATCAAATTTTCATAGCTTCATTGCACATAGTCATCATCTTCTGAAAAATCATATACCAAGAAAAAAATATATAATTAGGTCTTTGATCAACAGCTATTCCACCAAGCACATAATGAGAGGTTAAGTTATTTGCCTAGAGTTGAAGGAAGAAGGGGTTGTTCTTCCAAGCAAAGAAGGAAAGCTGATGTTATAATTTCTTGGAGGAATAGCTCGTTTGCCAATTGTTGATTAGGAATGGGAATTCTATGTAGTTTTCTCACTCTTTAAATCAGTTAACATACAAACTGGACAGTAAACTGGAGACTATTGAAAGCATTTTGCTTTACTATTGTAAATATGTCTCCACTAGACCACAACCTTCAACCCCATCAAAGACATATAAATAATATTTTTCTTTGGTCCAGGTGTGACCATTCTAGGAGCTATTGAGAAAGTTAAGGTAATTTGTGCCTTTGTTTTATCCCTGATTTATATTTGTTATAGTCTATATAAACAGGTTAAAAAAAATACCTTTATTTATTTTTTTGTGGTGCTGAGGATCGAATCCAGGGCCTCACAAGGTGAGCGCTTTAACGCTGAGCCACAACCCCAGTCCTATATAAACAGTTTTTTTTTTTTTTTTTTAATATTTTATTTTTAGTTATCGGCGGACACAACATCTTTGTTTGTATGTGGTGCTGAGGATCAAACCCGGGTCGCACGCATACCATGCGAGTGCGCTACCACTTGAGCCACATCCCCAGCCCCCTATATAAACAGTTTTTAAAACACTTTTTCTTTTGCATTGATAGGGTGGATTGAAGAACTGGACAGATGTGATATTTTGGGGGCGGTGGGTACCTGGAATTGAACCATCCAGGGGCACTTAACTACTGAGCCACATCTTCAGCCCTTTTTTATATTTTATTTAGAAATACCGCCTCACTGAATTGCTTAGGGCCTCGATAAATTGCTGAGGCTGACCTTGAACTCACAATCCTCCTGCCTCAGCCTCCCAAGCCGCTGGAATTACAGGTGTGCACCACCGTGTCCAGTGGCAGATATAATTTTTCAGGCATTTATGTACCTATTGTCAGTTAGTGGAAAAGTTGAAAAACCATATAATGAGGTTTGCAGATGAGAGGATGGCTATAATGATGATTGATCTCACTCATCAATTTAATTTCTTCATTTTCTTATCCAGTTGCTTCTGCTTTGTGAAATGTAATTTTATCCATCAGTGTAGTTAATAGCTGCTAAATGTACCTTGATCCTTGAACGTTATTGTGCATTATGTTCTTTTATGTCCTATTGAAAAATATTTTGCTTCACACATTCTTGCATCTAACTTTCTTCTCTGCTTCCCTAGAATTCCATTCGGCACAACCTCTCTCTCAACAAGTGTTTCCGGAAGGTGCCTAGACCTCGGGATGACCCTGGGAAGGTGAGTACTGCAGTGGAAATCATAGGGAAGAGCAGGAAAGAGAGTGAAGTAGTTGATGGCCCAGAGTCCTGTGGCTGTTTTAATTACCCAGAAGAGGAAATCATGTTAATTAGAGAAGCATCTTTATTTTTCCTCAAAGGAAGAGCTTAGTTGACAAGCTTGTGGAACCCCATTAGAATGGGTGACTAAGGAAGATTGTGAAATCTTTTTTTTTTTTTTTCAATAGGACTATTTGATAAAGTTGATTTTGAGACTCCCTTTCTTTTTGTGGCATTCTTTTTCTGTTTAGATGTAAAAGATTTACTTCATAACCTTTGTAGAAACTTTTCCGTACAAAAATCTTTACTTTTTACACTGAGATTTCATCTCACACTAGTCAGAATGGCAGTCATCAAGAATACAAATAATAAATGCTAGAGGGATTGGAGAAAAAAGGAACACTTTACACTGTTGGTGGGACTATAAATGAGTACAACCACTGTAGAAATTGGTATGGAGGTTCCTCAAAAGACTAGGCATGGGGGGCTAGGGATTTAGCTCAGTTGGTAGAATGTTTGTCTCACATGCACAAAGCCCTGGGTTAAATCCCCAGCACCAAAAAAAAAAAAAAAAGACTAGGCATGGAACTACCATATGACCCAGCTATACCATTACTTAGTATTTATCCTGAAGAATTAAAATCATCATACTACAGTGATACATACATACCCATGTTTATAGCAGCACAATTCACAATGGCCAAACCATGGAACCAGCCTAGGTGACCATCAACAGATGAATGGATTTAAAAAATGTGCTATGAAGCAAATTTTTTATTCATAAAGAAAAATGAAATTATTTCATTTGCAGGAAAATGGATGGAATTTGAGAGCATTATGTTAAGTGAAATAAGTCAAACTAGGAAGATCAAGGATTGTATGTTTTCTCTTATGTGGAAGCTAGAAAGGAAAAGGAAAGGGCTAGGCTGGTGGAGTCTCATGAAAATGAAAATGAAATCAGCAGAGTAAAGGGACCAATGCAGGGAGAAGGGAGAGAAAGGGGAGGTACTGGGGAATGATATTGGCTAAGTTATATTCTTATATTGTATGCATGTATGAATATATAACAACAAATCCCATCATTATGTACAACTATAATACACAAAAAATTATGGAAAAAATCTCTAGTTTTTACTTTCATAAGAAAAGGGATGGAACATTCTCCCAATTTGCAAAAGCAGATGCTAAAGGCCAGATGAGTTTTGCCTCAGGTCACAAAGAAAGGGAATGACTGTCTCTGGCCATTTTGCCATTCTTTGCACTAAATATTGTACTTCTAACCCTTCAGAATAATTGAGGCCTGTGTTTGGACCACAGAACTACCTCTGGCACACACAATGAGCTTTTAGGACAGTTCTCTTTCTCATTAATACTAGTGCCCTCAGGATTCTATGTAAATGTCTAGAAGGTTGGCATGGTGGTGTAAGCCTATAATCCCAGTGATTTGGGATGCTAAAGAAGGAGGATCACAAGTTTGCCTCAGCAACTTAGTGAGACTTTGTCTCAAAATAAAAATTAAAAAGAACTAAAGTATAGCTCTTAGTGGCAGAGTGCCCCTGAGTTCAAACCCTGATATCAAAGAAAAAAACAATAATCTGTGTAAATGCTCAGTCTTGTCCCCCCTCATCCCCCCACATTCCTTGGTATTGGACATCAAATCCAGAGCCTCATGCAGGCTAGGTAAGCATTCTATCATTGAGCTACACCCCTGAGCTCCAGGCCTATTTCTTAATATGGCTGTTGGATTATCTGTTTTCAAAAGTGGGAACTTCTATAGGTAATTAATTTTTTTCTCTGTGGGGATGGGTTCTTCTTCCAGGGCTCTTATTGGACAATAGATACCTGCCCTGACATTTCCCGAAAGAGAAGACACCCTCCAGATGATGATGTAAGTTTCCTCTTCCTGGGAAGATGCCATTTCTGAGTCAGTTGCTCTTTCTACCTCCTTTTCTGGATATTCAGTCTTTTCCAAAGCTAAGATGAATGCCAGCAGAGGGGAGACAATGGGTTTGGGGAAGATATTTCAATTTTTCTTACAAATTTCTTTTCTGTTGCAACCCTCAGCTATCCCAAGACTCACCAGAACAGGAAGCAAGCAAGAGCCCACGGGGAGGTGTTCCAGGGAGTGGAGAAGCCTCGCTGCCTCCTGAGGGGAATCCTCAGATGTCACTTCAGAGCCCCACATCTATGGCCAGCTATAGCCAGGTAGGAAGTAAAAGTAGTAGGGGCCACAGGGATGGATAGCTGGGTAGATGGTTGTGTGGCTTCAGATAGGTTTCTGTTCAAAATTACATATTATTTGTGATGTTAGGAAGATAAAGTTGAAAAGAAGGGTAAAGCAAAAGAGAAAGTCCAAAGAGGGAAAGAGAGGAAGAGAAAGATATAACAGAACTTTCAGGTAAATCAGGGGGGAAAAAGGTGAGAAGGAGGAAGGGGAGTAAAAAAAAAAACATGATTAAGAAAAGAAGGGTATGAATGTAATGTAGGGAAAGGGCAGTCAAAGAAGAAATGGAAAATGAGGTCAGACTCAAAAACAACCAATGAGTAAAGAAGGAGAAAATGATGCTGTTCCACTGAATATATGAGAGGAACAAGAGGATAGGCAGAAGAGCCTGGTGACCATAAAGTGTTGTATTGTTCCCTCAGCTGGGACACAGATCAGGACTTTCTTACCTGTTTTTGCAGGGAACAGGGTCTGTGGATGGTGGAGCAGTGGCATCAGGGGCTCCAAGCCGAGAAAGCTCTGAGGGTCCCCCTCCCCTCTATAACACCAACCACGACTTCAAATTCTCCTACTCAGAGATCAACTTTCAGGATCTAAGCTGGTCCTTCCGCAACCTCTATAAATCCATGCTGGAGAAGTCCTCTTCTTCTTCGCAGCATGGTGAGTCTGGAGTTGGGATGGGTGCCTATATTCTCTTACATTTTTGTATAAGTGATGACATTCTCTTCTCTCCCTCATTTGTTATCTTTGCATGCAAAGAGATTGATCACTGTTCACAGTTAACATATCAGGAACTAAAACTGTTTGGAATAGGACAACTGTTTCAGAGAGTAGTCTGGATTGTAAGCTTCAAAAAATGAGTTGAAGGATTGCCCAGTCTAGAACCAGGGACAATGATTATTATTATTAATTTTTTTTTTCTGGTTGCTGGGCTGGAACCCTTGGCCAATTTGTTTTAGGCAAGCACTCACCCCTGAGCTACATCCTAAGCCCATAGGGGATTTTATAGCTGTGAGCAAGTCAATTAGAGGATGACCACTAGGGGACAGCAGTAGTATCCTCTCCCCAAGAATCCCTGTATTTCATTATAAGAATTTATTTTTATATTATTGTATATTTATATTTATATTTATATTCTTATAATGAAAACTTTCAAACATATGCTAAATAGAGTGAATAGTATAATAAACCCCCATGCTTCCATCACCCAAATTTTAAGTTACCAATGTTTTGTTAAGCTTGCTTTATTTACCACCCAGTTTTTTTGAAATTAGAATAATTTCATGCAATTTCCAGACAGTGTTTCATTCAATCCATAAATATAATTTCAGTAATATGTTGCCAAACTATAAAGGCTTTTCCTTTATTTATTTACCATGCTACCATCATTCCTAACACAATTAATAATGCTTTTTTAATATCACTTAATATCTTAACCATTTGCACATTTCTGTAATTATCACATGAGAATGACTTAAGAGTTGTTATTGGGAGTCTCCTTGAGAGACCATCTCATTCAGCCCTCTGCATTTCCTGAATTTTTTGAAAAAGAAACTAGAGGTAGAGGTGAGAGATATGAGTTCAAGTAAGGCAGATCCCTTCTCCTTCTGTGGCCCTTTGTAGGCTGCAGGGACTTAACAAAATGATAACAACTGGTTAGAAGTCATTTTTTTGGAAAATATATATTAATCATCATGAATTCTTTCTTTTTATATCCCAGGGGATCAGTATCTATAGTATGTTCCAAGATTGTATTAATTATTTGAGAAATTAATCCAACTCAGGTGGTCCGTTGACTGGAGAGAGGGAGTTTGGAGAAAATGTCTGAAACAAAGTAAAACATTATATTAGATGGAGTGAGGACAACGAAGTGTTCACTCAAGTTCAGCTGTGACTAAAAGCCTCTAGCTGAAGTCTAGATCTTCCCTGTCTAGTCTTCTTGGGAGGCGAATCCATTCCCATTCTGCTTTTCACCCAAGCTCCATTTGTTGGTAGTGAAATCAAGAAGGCAGTAACAGTAGAGGAGTAAAGAGATGCCCAGTTGCTCAGTTTTACTTATAATTTACTTTTTAAATTTCACTTGCTATCTGATTTTTGAAACCGTGATTCCTGGCCTATACCAAAATCCCTGAAAAATAGTATAAAAACTTTGTACACACTGACCTTTTAATTAAAATATAAGCAGTCACCACACTAACAATGCCCTGCTCTAACCTAACTGCCTTCTTGTCTGTTATCTGCCAGGAGAGACACAGGTATCCTTGCAGTTCCACACTATGTCCTTTCTTCCTTCCTTCCTTTGTTTCTTTCTTTTTTTCTTCCTCCTCCCTCTCTCCTGCTCTCCTTCCCCAGCCCCCCTCTCTTTTTTTTCACTGGAGATTGAACCCAGGGGCACTCTACTACTGAGGTATGTCTCCAACCTTTTTTATTTTTATTTTTTTTTGTTTTGATATACAGAGTCATTTTAAGTTGCCCAGGCCAGCTTTGAACTTACCATCTTCCTGCCTCAGCCTCCTAAATTGCTGGGATTATAGGCAGAGGACCCCAGAATACTCTTTTTCTTTTAATTCTATAGTTTCTGTCTGACGTCTCCTATCTTGACCCAGAGAAAATCCCATTTAGGGAAACATGCATTGCCTAAGTCATATGCCTGCTTCTTCCTCACCCTGCAGGCTTTTCGTCTCTCCTGGGGGACATGACACCTTCTAACAACTACTACATGTATCAGCAGCAACAGCCGCCGCCAACTCAACAGCAGCAGCAGCAGCCATCGCAGCCACAGCCACCTCCTCAACAGTCACAGCCACAGTCGCAGCAGGCACCAGCCCAGGGCCCCTCAACTGTGGGGGGTGCCCCTCCACTGCATACCCCAAGCCCTGATGGTTGTACCCCACCAGGGGCAAAGCAAACTGGGCCTGAAAGCTATGGGCCTCCCCCTGTGATGGCCATGCATCCTCCCACACTGCAGCACGGGGGCTACCATCCTCATCAGCACCATCCCCATCCCCACCCTGCCCAGCAGCAGCCACCACCACAACAGCAGGCACAAGGCCAGGCACCTATCAACAGTACTGGCTTTGGTGAGTAAAGAGGGTGTAGAGAAAGCTTAGGAAAGGGTGAATGAGCCCCTAGTTCCGACCCTGCTATGGAGATGCACTTGTTAAGAAGTCAATAGTGAGTCTTTTAGCCTCAGTCTCCCAAGAGCTTAACTGAGCATATTGAAGTTGCTGCCCACAGCTCTATTTTGTGGAGGATTTGGAGATTAAGGATTTAATTATTTCCCTTCCATATTTGTGAATCATTTAGGAGTTTTTTTGATGTTCTCCTGCCTATGATCTGTGCTGTACTTAAATCACCAGGTAGGGAGAGTCCAAAAATGTCTTGGTAATGCAACTGGTAACCTGTGTAGGTGCAAGACTCTTGCATGTAGTCAGTCTGTTATCAGTTGACTGCTATCTTATACTTTTACTTTATCTCACTGCCTACTTTCTTCTTTACAGCCTTTCCTCCTGATTGGTGCTCCAATATTGACTCCTTAAAGGAAAGCTTTAAGATGGTGAATCGGCTTAACTGGTCCAGCATTGAGCAGTCCCAGTTCTCAGGTTAGTCCTTAAAGGATGATGACTGGAAGGAAGAGAATAAGCAGAAAAATCCAATAGAATGAGAAAGGGGTGGGTAAGTGAAACTCGAAGTGTTTCATTATTTCCCCTCCACATTACACAGATGAATATTGTTAATGTGTTCAAATTAATTTTGCCCAACTCAAAATACGGCAATGATTTCTTCTAGTCAGTTTTATCTTTAAGAGAGAGAAGGCTCTTAGAATTTAGAAACCCTGGGCCACTATTTTGTAGTTTTGTCACCATTTCCTGACAGTGTGACCAAAGCTAAGTCATTCAGTCACTTTGAAAGTTTGTTTTATTCATTGGTAAGATGGAAATAATAATAAGAGTTTAGTAAGGAACAAACAGAATGGGAGCTTGAAAATGTAGAGCACTTAAATTGAATTGTTAATACATATCATCAGTGGTATTGACTTTTGATGTGGGTGGAACAGTGAAATAGGGATGGGTCTGGAAGGAACTCTGGTGCCTCTGCAAAGTTAGCATTGCTTGCTTTCCTATTTGTAGAACTCATGGAGAGTCTACGACAGGCAGAGCAAAAGAACTGGACCCTCGACCAGCATCACATTGCCAATCTGTGTGACTCCCTCAACCACTTCCTAACTCAGACTGGTCACATGCCTCCTCAAGGGGGCTCCCACCGGCCACCAGCCCCTGCTCGGATTACTGACTCCTGTGCCCTCACCAGTGGCAAACAGGAGACAGCCATGAACCAAGGTATTGTACAAAGTAAGCTCCAAGATAGAGACTATGATGAAAAGGAAGGTGGGAAAAAGATAAAAAAGAATCACTGTTGAATCAGTGAATCCTGAAAATGCAAAGAAATAGACTGGTCCTTTTCAGACCTTGGTTTAGGAGATCAAATTACTTATGAAAAAGGAGAAAATTTATTAGAGAAAGTCCCCATTACAAATTGTGTCTCAGTAAATTTCACACTTTTAGTATCCATTCTTTTTCACCCTAGGTGGTGAGGACTGATGACTTGTTGAAAGCCTTCATGCCCACAGGATCTATAGAATAAGGCAGGGAAGGGAGACAGAGATTGATGGGAAGAAAGCTGCAAATTTTTTCTCCCTGTTTTGTTGAGTACAGTGATTCCCCGATCAAGTAACTCTTGTCTTGTTTTGGTAGTGAATTCCTATGGACATCCACAAGGCCCCCACCTCTACCCTGGTCCATCACCAATGTACCCAATCCCTACCCAGGACTCAGCAGGATATAATCGCCCAGGTAAGAGCCAGAAAGTGTATTTCACTCTCTTGAAGTATTAACTACAACTGAGCACTGAAATAACTGAGCGCTGTCTTCCCTGTTAAGTTGTATTGCTTTCTTCTGACTCAGCCTGCTCTCTGTCCTAGTGCTTGCACCTGCTAGAAGGGAGTGAGCCGTCATGATTCCCATGTCCCAAAGATAGGGATGGGCTTCTTACTTGCTAGGAGGGATATATCAGGGGAGACTTTAAAAAGTCTGATGTATTTTTTAATTTAGCACTGCTGGGAATAAAATCCAGGGCCTTGTGCATGCTAGATAAGCACTCTCTTATTAAGCTATACCCCCAGCCCTAGATTTACTTTAAAACTAACTTGTAACTACAATAATGAAAGAAAATAAAAGCATAAATTTAAGCAAGAGATATGTGTGGGATATTTATGTCTAGCTTTAGAATCTAGATGGAAAATATATTTATTTAGGCAAATAAAATTAATTTTTTAGTATAAACATACTTGCTTTGGGCACATGGCTGTTTTCCTGTCACCTGATGAGTAATATCAGAGGCTTGAGATTAAACTATCTTTTTTGATTTTTGTGGTGTTAGGGATTGAGCCCAGGCCCTGATGCATGTTAGGTAAGCACTTCCCTCCTGAGATATACCCCTAGCCTGGGATTGAATTTTAATGGTGGGCGTGTAAGTGAGGGAGACACTGAATTGCCATAGATAGTATAAAATGAACAAGTCCTTTACATTTAAATACATTTTAGGAAAATCACTCTTGTCATCCTATATAATCATGAATGTTTTCAGTTTTGGTGGTGACATCTGACTCTTTATCCATGTAATACAAATTTCTTTTCTTATTTCTCTCTCTCTCTTTTTTTTTCTTTTTGTGGTACTAGGTATTGAACCCAGGGAAGCTCTACCTCTGAGCTACATATCCATCCCTTCTTATTCCTTCTTATTTTTTATTCTGAGACAGAATTTCACTAAGTTATCCAGACTGGCCTTGAACTTGTGATTTGTCTGCTTCAGCTTCCTAAGTAGCTGGGATTACAGGGGTGTGCCAGTGTGCCCAGCTTATAAATTCAAATTTATGTGCTGCTCTTTCATGTAATAATACATTGTATATTATATTATCATTACTGATAGTCTTCATAATTTTTGTGCGTATGGTGCTGGGAATTTAACCCAGGGCTTTGTGCGTGCAAGGCAAGCACTCTACCAACTGAGCTATATCCTCAGCATCATAATATAATTTTTGATGGCACGATATTTTATTGTCATATAATCTAGCTTCCTCTAGTTTATTTTCTAAGCTCTTACTGAAGTGGTGGCCTGCAACAAAAATAACTCTAACCTGATAAAGTAATAGCTGCACCAGCTGAGCACTTTCCATCTAGACTGATGGAGCAGCTTCTCATCCAGTCTCCTTTTACTCTTTCTTTCTTCCTGACAGCACATCATATGGTCCCTCGGCCACCGGTCCCACCTCCTGGTGCCAGTGAGGAGATCCCTGATGACTTCGACTGGGACTTGATCACTTAATAGAGTGGACATCAGCCCCGGGTCTGGTGGTTAAGTCTGGCCATGAAGAAAGAGCAACCCTAGCCCGTCCCTTCTCCTGCTTGTATATAGATATATATCCACTTTTTGTTCTTTCTGTCAGAGAAGCCACCGCAAGATGCTGCCGAAGATAATTCCCTTTTTCCTTCCTCATTTTTCTCTTGTCCTTCCTGTTTTTCCCCTAATTTGTTTATTGTTATTCTAATTATGTTGTTTTTGTTATTATTATTATTATTATTATTGGTTATATACTGTCCCCAATCTCCTTTTCCTACACCATGGACTGTGTCTACCCCTTGCTAATTTAAAGTCATCAGGTTGGAAGACAAGGCCATGATAGCTGTAGAGAAAGGTTTCAATTTTTTTGTTTACCTTTCTCTTCGAGAAACTCAATGCGAATCCCACCTTCTAGCTTTAAGTTGTTTGCTGTTCCTGTCTGTTTCAGCTCAGGACTGGAGAGTCCACACAGTCGAGTAGAAGGGATCTAAAACACTGCTTGGCAGCCATGAATTTGCAGGTTTTACTCAATGGTGCTAATTCTGTCCTCCGAGCTCGTCTCTGACCCTTTGTCCCATCAATCCTTACTTCTTCTGACAATCCTCATTCCCCATCAAGGATAAGATGGATGCTGGTTCAGGAGAGCGACAATAAAATCTTAGTGGAATTAGAGACTGGATTGGGTTGAGTAGAACACTGTGGAGAAGTGAATATAAATCGGTGTGAAATACGGTATATATTGCTGTGTCATGTAAGCTCTCATTGGCTTATTCCTAGCCCATTTTCTAAGGAAATTGGATTGGCCTTGGCTTGAACTCTTCTTCTATGGTTGTACATGAGGACAGCTATTCAGCATAGGCTCAGCTTCTTGGAGATGATTTCAACTTAGTCATCTTGGCTTTTTAAAAATAATTCTCTCTGAAAATTAACAATGGCTCTGACTTTCATAGGTTGCCTTCATTACCTTTTCCCATGGAGCAAATATCATTTTGAGCTCTAGTTGTTTGCCCTAATATTTAAACTATCTTGTTTTCTTCCTTCATTTCCTGGGAGTCTCAAGAAAGAAAAAGTAAGGCATTCATACTGTGGGTTTCATTATGTCCTCGTTATGATATGGGAATCTCTTTCCTGCATCATAGCAGAATCACACTTATAGAATTGGTAGTGGAGGGTGGGGAGAGGAAAAAGGAGCTGGCATAGATTTGGTTAGGGAATATTTCATTTATTTAATATATATAGGAAGATGCTACTCTTGAAATACAGATCATCAGGGCTAAAGCTTTTGCAATTAGCCTCTTGACAGGTGGAGGAAATTGGGAGAAGAGAGAAAATGATCTAGAAGAAAGAGTTCAGTGAGGACCAAGGGCAACTTCTAGAAGAAGTTACAGGGATAACTTGTCTCCTTCAACAAGGGATGGCCATGATTTATTGCTGCAAAGTTCGTAGTATATATTTAATATAACTTGTTGCATTTGAGTTAGGAGAGGGAAGAACAATTTTACTTCTATTTTTATTTCACTGAATTTTCCCTTTCTGAAAGCTGCAGGACAGAATGTATGGAATGGACACAGCCCTTTATGATTTCTACTGTTTGTTCATATCCTTTTATTTATCCATGTTTTCCAAGATATTGGACTTTCTAATCTCCTGCTTTTCCCCCTCATATACCCCTTTCCTTTCTTTGGAAGGGGGTTATATATGAGTTTGTTGGAGAAGTTCAGTGAGGCTGAAGTAAAGGGGCAAGATAGGGCAGTTAACTAAAGAGCACTTTATTTCTTTGAAGCCTTTGTAAGAAATAAATGGGGATGAGAGTAGATTGAATCCCTCATTGTGTTGGAGAATACTTAGTGAGGTTGAAGTATGACACAATATTTTCCATTAGGGAGAGGGGTATTTCTTATAGAGGGAGGCAAAATGCCTTTGCCTGGTGTCCCTATGTTAGGCATCTCTTCCTTATTCCTTCCATTCAAGGTACACCCTACATATAATTTCCCTTCAGTTCTCCCCAAGATTCTTTCTTTACAGATTAACACTCCTCTTTTCTAAAACCCCTTTCTACTCGGTTCCATACAGAGTTAGGAAGGGTAGGCTAAATCATACACACAAATGCCCCTTGTTCATCTGTGTCTTCTGAAAACTAGTTTCATTAAGAATCCCGGTGGTCAGCCAGAGTAACTGAAGTTTGGGGCTGGGACTGGAGATTGGCCAGTAGGTCACCTGAGATTCCAGCTTTTCTCCACCAAAATCAGCCTTGCTAAATGGTACAGGACAAATCTGACTCCCATTGGGCCTCAATTTCCCTTTCCCTCCATGAAATGGAAAGAATACTACTTTTTATTATTGGTCCAGCATTGCTGGACATGAAGTATAGTCATTGTTGTTGTATTGGGTGATGTGTGAAAATTGCAGGAGCTCACTGCCTAAATGAGGAAATAAGGGAGAAAGCAGAGGAGAGGGACAAAAGGAGCAAGTGTCTGGTATCAACCTAACCATCCCAGGTTTCCTCTCCTCAACCCCATGTTTCTGGTCTGGTGAGTCCTTTATACCACCCATAATGCTTTGCATTGGTGCAGGCTGGGAAGGGGTATATGGTTTCACAATTCGATGTTGTTGTTCTTGGGTTTTTTTTTTTTTTTGCATGCTTTCTTAATAAAAAAAAAATGTTTCCAGTTTTATCTTACTAGTGTTTGTCTCCAATTTATTTTTGCCAGGTAGAACAGGAGAAATGTGAAAGCCTTTGGTTTCAGTTGTCCTTTGTCTCTTTCCCACACCTCACCACTGGGTTTCATTAGTTGACCTTTTTTTTTTTTTTTTTTTAATGCCTTTAACAGTCCTTTTTTTAAATGCTATTAAATGTAGTGAACTTTTGTTGGGAGAGTCAGTAACCCCTTGCAGGTTCATGGGTGGAGTAGGCCCACCTTTTAGTGTCCATTTAAAGGATGCATGAATTTCTGACACTTGAAAGGAACCAGGGGCAAAAAAATTTATTCACATGAAATACATAAGCAAATTAAATTGAAAAGCTATTACTGCAAATCTTACATCAGGTCAGACATTATTTCCTCACAAACAAAAAATTCCAAGTAGTTTGAAATTTTTCTGCACAGTATTTTACAACAAATTTGTAGTCTAGACCCTTACCTTAATTATTGAGCAAATCATTCTTAAAAGTCTAAAATGCTATGAGAGAAGATATTTTAATAACAAAGAAAATTCCAATGAATTGTGCAGAAATACTGTTTCTACACCATCTTAAAAAAAAGTTATGAGAGATTTTTGGAATAGGAAAACATTTTTTAAAGTTGAGATTTAAAATTGTAAAAATGACCAGAGTGTCAAAGTTCTAGTAGAACTCATTTTGTGCAATGAACATGAGGAAAGATTACTGTATAGTTTTGTTGTTTTTCCCCCCCTTTTAAATGAAGAAAAGCTTTGCTTAAAAAATAAAATAAAATGCTATGTTGTAGTACAAACAAGCCAAAATTTCAAAGGTTTAACATGATGAAATACACAGAGGAAAGAAAAGGTGGCAGGAATTGAAAAAATGCTTTTTAAAAACCAAAGAAGGTTTACTGTGGTACTATTCACAATAGCTAAGATATGGAATCAGTCTAGATGCCCATTGACAATTGAATGGATAAAGACAATGTGGTATACATATACAATAGAGTATTTTTCAGTCATAAAGAGAAATGAAATCCTGTCATTTGCAGCAAAATGGAATGGAACTGAAAGACATTATGTTAAGGGAAATAAGCTATGCATATAAAGACAAGTACTACATATTCTGTCTCATAGGTAGTGGTTAAAAAGTTGATCTGAAAGTTATAATTACTATAGAAATTGGGAAGCGTGTGTGTGTGAGGTGTGGTGGGGGGGTGTGATGGGAAAAGAGTGGTTGGATTTGATCAGTGCATTCTGTATGCATGTATGGAAATATCACAGCAAACCCCATTAATATGTACAATTAATATGTGTTCATAAAATTTTTTTTTTAAATAAGGAAAGCTATATAAGTTGTTGGAATATATAGGCAAATTAGAAGAAAAATTTGTGATCTTGAGCAAATTATGAAAGTTGGCATGTTGAATAAACTATTTTAGAAATAGGAAGATATCTGGATAAAAACCTTCATCTTTTAAAACAAGAAGTCATTTTATCATGTCTACAAAAACAGCTGCAAAAGCATATTACTTAGGAACATGGTCAATATCAGGAGAAATATCTAAAATTGTTACAAGGGTTATCTCTGGGAAATGAAAGTGGGAGTTGCGAGTTATTGGGCAATGGAATAGAAGGCCTCATTTTATTATAATCTTTAAATTCTTTAATAATTAAATGTGTATATTACTATTACTTGGTAAATATAAAGATTAATTTTAAAAACTTAAATGCTGGTGGGCATGGTAGCACACCCCTGTAATCCCAGGGGCCCCGGAGGCTGAGGCAGGAGAATTGTGTATTCAAAAGCCTCAGCAATTTACCGAGGCCCTAACCAACTTCAAGAGATCCTATCTCCAGAAATAAAAAGGGCTGTGGATGTGACTCAGTGGTTAATCACCTCTGGTTTCAATCCCTGGTAGCAAAATAATAATAGATACTTAAAAGCTATATCTGGTAATTTGGGCATGAAAGAGACCTGGAGCCATGTTTAAAACACTTTTTTGATGGTATTCCTGTCAGGGTTCTCAGTCATTTTTCAGTGAATCAAAGATATGCTGCTCCATCCTCCCTTCTCTTCCTCCTTTCATTTGAAATGAGTTCCTTGAAAACTATTAATTTGGGGCAAGCAGACTAATTAGAACCTTAAAGAATCAGGAGTTATGTGAAGCACAAAGTCTTATGTGAAAGAAGATTAAGAGGCAGGGGAACAATAAGGAATTAAGAAATTAAAAAGGAATGAAGATAGATGGTTTTATCAGTAGGCAGATAGAATCAACAAATAGAGAACTCCCCAAACCACAGTTTCCATAATATTTCATAAGTAAGTTTTTAGATGTATTCTAGATGCTCTTTAGTGGTAATCTTGGAAACTTTGACTTCCTGTATCCTGTATCAGGGGTATTCCCAGCAGCAGACATCTGGCATTGTACTCTGCTCCAGACTCAGGCGCATAACTCCTTGTTTTCACATGCTTTTTCTTTCTGCAACTTATTTTCATTGAAAACTGTCACCACCAACATCATAACAAAGCCATATAGAATAAGTGATTATCTTCCATTCATGTAAGACAAGAAGAAATGGTCTTAGGTTGGTAATATGGAAAAGGATTTAGATAATGCTAAAGAAAAAACTTAGTGATGGAAACAGTTAAAAATAGAGTAGGCTGGGCATGGTAGTGCATGCCTTTAATTTCAGTTACTCAGGAGGCTGAGGCAGGAGGACTGCAAGTTCAAAGCCAGCCTCAGCAAATTAGTGAGGCCCTAAGCAACTTAATAAAACCCTGTCTCAAGAAAAAAAAATTGGGGGCTGGGAGAGTATACCTCACTGGTAAAGCACCTCTGGGCTAAATTCCCTGTAAACCCCCCACACACACACAAAAAAAGACTAGATTCTTATTTATCTCACATGGCTTAGGGATAGAAATACACTAATTTTTATAATTATTCTCCAATTTGGTGTTAATGAGAAGCAAGAGGGCCTGTTAAAACAATGGGCCTCATCTCCCAGAGATTCTGGTTCATCCATGGAACCTTGAGTATTGAATTTCTAACAAGTTTCCATTCCAGTAGATGCTGATGCCAGTAATTTGAGACCACACTTTGAGAATTGCTACATTGATTATTTGATGATTTCTGAAGTCTCCTGCTTGTCATAATCCCTCATTCTTTTACAAATACTCACCTAAAGACATCTCCTTAGGTAGGTTGCTCTGTATTTTCACACACCTGTGCTGATGCTGTTTCTTTCTGTAAAGACTTTGTTTTGGAAACAACTGGTAGAGTGTGTGAGTTCCTCACTGAAGGCTGCCTCCAGAATACCCTTCACAGACTGCTTTGCTTTCTTCCTAAAATCTTTCCCCAAGAGGGCATAGAGGAAGGGATTGAAACAACTATTGGCAGATGCTAGAGCAAGGGCCACATTGTCCCAGGATAATAGAGTTCCTCTCAAGGAAGATCCTGGGTTAATAACCAGTAATAGGACTCCAATAATATGGTATGGGGTCCAGCAGACAAGAAATACAGTCACCACCATCACGGTCACTCGGAAAGTTTTGTTCCGAGACTTTGTCAGTTGGCTTCGTCGCATTCGAAAAACGATGATGCTGTAACAGCACACTATGATAATAAAAGGCAGCAAGAAACCCAACACTAACCTTGTAATGGTTATTATCATCATAGTTTTTTGCACTTGACTGTCACCAGGAAATTGGCTTAAATTATAATCCTGGAAATCTTGTGATTCCTCAGGCTCATATAAGTTATCACTATAAGCCCTGGGGTAGAGGTCTAAATCAGTAGGAAGAAAATTATTAGGGCTATGCAGTACATCGGTTTTGTGATCTTCAGTGAGAAACCCACTGGGGCTTGCAGATGAAATATTAGGAGGCTTAAAATTATTGTAAGATGGATGTTGACTAGATAATCTTGCTGACTCCCCAGGGATCAAATCTCCAGAATGTCTTCGAAGTGTTTGAGATTGGAGGATGGTGGGGGCTGTCCAAGGATAATTGTTTGCTTGGAAAGAGGAAGAATTTAACTTATCATCCATTTTTCCAGGCTGCTGAACAATGGAGTTGGTGAAAGACCCATTTTCTAATTCATCTGGATCATAGGTGTAATCCGAATAATCTGAGCCGGTTAAATCAAAATTGTATATACACATTTTATAATCGTCTACAGTGAATGTTTCCCGGTGCATGAACACAGGAATACACATTGCAAAAGACATCATCCAAATACATCCACAAATAGCGAAGGCTGTCCTCACTCTTCGATGATTCTGACACCAGATTGGCTTGAGTACCATCAGACATCGGTCCACGCTAATGGCAGTAAGCAGGAAGACACTGGCAGACATGTTGAGGATGATGATGGAGGGGATAAGCTTGCACAGGAACCTGCCATAGGGCCAGTATCCATGGAGAGCTAAATGAGCCAGGGAGAAGGGCAAAGAGAGGCAGCAAAGAAAATCTGCCAGAGTGAGATGAAGAAACCAAACTGTGTTCACTGTCCGCTGCATCTTTAGGCCAGCCACCCACAACACCAGCCCATTGCCTGGCAATCCTAATAAAAAAGTGAGGCCAAGAATGACCATGGAGAGAATTATTTGGGGTTCATACAAAGGCTGGGAGAGTGGGTCAGTTGAGTTGGTCTCAGCAGAGAATGACTCCATTGCTAAACTTCTGCAAAAAGATGAAAGAAATGTTATAACTAACAGTATCTTTGTAAAATGTGTATTCTTAAAATCCTAACCTGCCTACATAATGATGTGGCACCGCAAAGCCAGAAGGCCCTCACATGTTTTTGTTTATATTCCTTGATGTTTTAGGCATCTTTGCATCACTGTGACCAAAAGACCTGACAAAGAACAACTTAGGGAGAAGTTTGTTTTGGCTTATGGTTTCAGAGGTGAGGCAAAATTTCATGGCAGAGGAAAGCAGCTCAGGACATGGCAATCAGGAAGGAGAGGAGAGGGGATGAGAGGGGAGGGGAGGAAAGAGACTACTCCATTCACCAGAGTCAAAATATAAATTCCAAGGCATGCCCTCAGAGACCTACTTCCTTCAACCACACCTTATCTGCCTGAATCCAGTTAATCCAGAAAAGTGAATTAATCCACTGATTTGGTCACAACTCTCATAACCTAATCATTTCATCTCTGAACATTCTTGCATTGTCTCACACATGAGCTGTTGGAGGACACCACATATCCAAACCATAATAGTTGACTTCATACTAAACCACACAAAAACATTTTCTGACAGTTTAAAATCTGCTGGATAGATTTGAATGTGTATCAAAATATCAACTTCACTTAGAAGTCCATATCAATGCAAATTTATGATTCTTTTTTTTTTTTTTTTTTGGTACTTTTATCTCTCATTTTCCACTGACTCACTCCATGCTTCATGTCCCCAAAAACAAACAAGTAGGGGCTGGGTTGTGGCTCAGCAGTAGAGCGCTTGCCTCACATGTGAGGCACTGGGTTCAATCCTCAGCACCACATTAAAAAACTTAATAAACAAAATAAAGGTATTGTGTCCATTTACAATATATATATATATATATATATATATATATATATATATATATATATATTATTATTTTTTTTTTAAACAAATAAGTAAGCTAAATGAGTAAACAAAAACTTCTGGAACTTGTGGTCCCCAACCTGTGTTAATGAAAAGGCTTTTGGAAGCTTCACAATCTAAAATGATATGAAAAATTTTAAATTTATTTATTTTAATTTCTCTGATGGCAGAAGTTGGATCCATTTCCTTAAGCAGACTTTTAAAGGACTCAACTACACAAAAAGAGGGAGTCGCCACTTGGTTTTGTCTTTCAGATGCAACTTCTTCTTTTACTATCAGATTTCTCAAGAGTTATTGATGCTCTTTGCATTGACTGCTTTCATCATTTCTTTCTTGTGTTTTAGAGTAAAATTTGGGGAAAATAGCTTTATTATTACAAAAGCAGAAAATAGGCATGAAGAGAGTTGGAAACAGACAAGTAAAATTAAGAAAATGAGCTGGCACGGTAGCTCATGCTTGTAATCCTAGTGGCTTGGGATGTTGAGGTAGGAGGATCTTGAGTTCAAAGCCACGCCTTAGTAACTTGGTGAGACCCAAGCACCTCAGTGAGATCCTGTCTCTAAATAAAATACAAATAAGAACTGGGGATGTGGCTCAGTGCTCCTGGCTTCAATCGCTGGTACCAAAAAAAAAAAAAAAAAGAAAGAAAGAAAAAAATGAAAATGTCATATCCACCAGTCAGTGATTACTATATCTTAATTTATATCCTTTGGATCTTTTTTTTCCATATATGTGTGTATACATATGTATATGCATTTTTTTTGTTAAACAAAGTTTAACAAAATTAGATCATACCATGAATATTTTTTTAAAAATTTGAATTGTAAAACACACAACAAAATTTTTTAAATTTTTATTTATTTATTTTTTAGTTGTAGATGGACACAATATCTTTAATATTTATTTATTTATTTTTATGTGGTGCTGAGGATCAAACCCAGGGCCTCATGAGTGTGAGAGAAACTCTCTACCACTGAGTCATAAACCCAACCCACAACATAAAATTTACCATCTTAGTCTTTCCTTCCTTCCTTTCTCTCTCTCTCTCTCTCTCTTTTTCTTTCTCATATTGGGGATTAAATCCAGGGCCTTGTACATCCCCAGCTTTTTGATTTTTTTTTTAGTTATATTTGGACACAATATCTTTATTTTATTTATTTATTTTTTTGTGGTGCTGAAGATCGAACCCAGGGCCTTGCATATGCTAGGCAAGTGCTCCACTGCTGAGCTACAACCCCAGCCCCATCCCCAGCTTTTAAAAATTTTATTTGAGACAGGATTTCACTAAGTTGCCAAACTTGTGTTCCTCCTGCCTCAGCCTCCTGAGTAGCTGCCATCATAGGTGTGTACCATTGCACTCTGCCTCAACCAGTATTAATAGTTCAGCAGTATTTACTGCATTCACATTGTTGCAAAACTAATGACCAGAACTTTTTCATATTGCAAAGCGGAAACAGTACCCATGAAGCAATTCCCAGTTTCCTCCTCTCCACTGCCCCCCCCCCCCCCCCCGCCTGCAACCAACATTCTTTCAATTTTTACAAATTTGACCACTTTACATACTTCATAGTCTTTTTCTTTTTGTGTCTGGCTTTTTCTTTTTTCATTGAGCATACTGCCTTTCATTTTGTGGAATGTGTCATTATTCCTTTCCTTTTTAAGGCTAATATTCCAATGCAAAAATGAGAGTTTATTTATGAAATTATCTGTCAGTGGACTTCAGATTCCTTTGACCTTTAGGCTGTTGTGAATAATGCAGCTATAAATAGGGGTGTAAATACATATTGTTTTATAAACTTGTTTATGTTTTCAGTTACCAGTCTTCACATTACACGGTATGATTGTACTTTAAGGAATATCTAGTCTTTGTCCAATTATTTGTCAACTGCCCCTAAAATATCTTTTATAATTGATTTATATGGAAGCTGGGGTTTTGGTTCAGTGGTAGAGTGCTTGCCTACCATGTGCAAGGCCCTGGGTTCGATCCTCAGCACCATATAAAAAATAAATAAAATAAAGGTCTTGTGTCCAACTACAACTAAAAAAAAAAAAAAAGATTTATCCCTGACAATATCCAATCTAGAATCATACTTTACACTATGCAGTAAATCATAATTTACATACTGCCCCCATTACTTCTAGAGAACAAATCCAAACCTCTGTTTGTCTTCATCCTCCACAAGGTAAAATTTGTCATTCGGTATGCTAAGTCCTTAACAGTGTTCTCTTGGCCTCTGTGACATTATTCTCTCCTGGTTCTGAACATTCCTGTAAGTGTACACTACTTTCCCAAAGGATTCATTCTTCCAAATTAATGCAGTTTTCTTATTTCTTGGCTAATGCTGTTTACTTCTATCTGGAATTATGTCTTTCATTTAGCCTCTTCTTTCCTCCATCCTTAATCTCTGCCTATTGAAATATTACATATTCCTCAAGGTCAAGCTCGAATATTATATCTTCCTTGAAATAATTTCTTATAATGCCATTTAGAAATTAATTCTTCAGCGTATTGATTGTGTGCGTTGAATCCTTTTTCATATTCTCTATGCAATGGCACATTTTTATCTTGTGTTATAATTATCAATTAAGATCATGGCTGTCTTATCTATCATTCTGGCCTTAAATTTCATGATGGTAAAAACAGTCTTCTGCATAAATAATTGTTCCACAGAATTTAACTCAGTACCTTATATGACATAAAGGCTAAATATAACTTCAACAGATGAGTGCTCACCTAGGGTTGACTTTGTTTTTTGGTACTGGGGCTTGAACTCAGGGGTGCTTAACCACTGAGCCACATGTCTATCCCTTTTTTATTTTGAGACAGGGTCTAAGTTGCTTAGGGCCTTGTTAAGTTGTTGAGGCTGGCTTTGAATTCGTGATCTTCCTGCCTCAGCCTTCTGGAATTACAGATATGCCTGGTTAGCTTTTTCTTTATCTTTAACTAAATTCAACATTGTAATTCTTATCCATTTAATCCTTACCATGGCTGCTTTCTTAATTCCTATGCTGTTGCTTCTAACTTCCTTTTTAAGTTCCTAATTCTTACTGGATACAATAATACTCTACATTTCTTTTTATAGAGGCCCAAAATTTTTTCGTGACTTGAAAGTAGTTCTGCTGAGTTAAACAAACATTTTTAAAGGGATATATAGGATTAGCAGAAGTGAAAATAACAAGTCAACAAAATACAAAAAAAAAAAAAATAAATTATTCCCATTCTCCTTTCTGTGGCCTTTTCTACTCAAATATTCAAGTCCTATCATGAGCTCTTCCCTCTCTCTTGTGAATGGCAGCTACCTTGATCTATTGCACCATTTATGCAGAGATTCATACAGACTTATGCATAGATCCATAAAACAATGAAAGAAGGATAAAGTCATAGATTGCTAGGACTGAAAGAAAACTGAATAGTCATCTCTAGTTCTCTCTACTTTTGTAATTTTTGATACTGAAACTCAGTAGATTAGGTCACTTTTACACAATCACAACTCAGGAGGTTCTCAGATGCTACGTCCACTGAGTGTCAGGCCAATTTCTTTTTACTGTAAAGCATCACATAAGCAAAAAACATACGGTATTTCTAGTAAAGGGCACTGCACAAACTGAAATAATAAGAGTTGAAAAGCGCAAAATTCCAATATGAGGGAAGTTATCTGTATGAGCTATATCATTACATATTATCTGTCATGAAATGAAAGTATATATGAGACAAGCCTTAAAAGTCCTTCAGAGCAAGATTATGTTTTACATTTCTTTAAGCTTTAGCTAAAAAATACCACTGTGTTTAAGATTAGTAGAAAATTTTTCCCTTAGATTTTATTATAGAAGGGGTCAATAGTAATTAAAAGAATAAAATTCTGAAACTAAAATTCATCTATGATAAGTAAAGGAAAACTATTTTATCCCAGAATCAAATAGTAATGATACAATGACAGAGCCAGTAGCAATAAGAAATGGGAAGAGTAGAAGAAAAAAAATAGGGAAATAAAATGAGAATTTCTGTGTGTGTATAAGTGTGTATAATCAATGATTAAAAACAAACAAACAAACAAACCCAAAACTAATGGGGAAAACTGGAATCAAAGAGTAGGAGGGGAAACATAGACACTTTAAGAGGGAAAAATGAGCCAGGCACAGTGGTGCATGCCTGTAATTCCAGCGACTTGGGAGGCTGAGGCAGGAGGATTGCAAGTTCAAAGCCAGCGCCAGCAACTTAGTGGGACCCTAGTGAGACCCTGTCACAAAATAAGAAATAAACCGGGTGTGGTGGTGCACACCTGCAATTCCAGTGGCTCTGGAGGCTGAGGCAGGAGGACTGCAAGTTCAAAGCCAGCTTCAGTAAAAGCAAGGTACTAAGCAACTCAGTGAGACCCTGTCTCTAAATAAAATACAAAATAGAGCTGGGAATGTGGCTCAGAGGTTGAGTTCAATCCCCAGTACCCAAAAATAAAGAATAAAAATAATAAAAAATAAAAAGGACTGGGAATATGACTCTGTAGTTAAGAACCCCTGGTTTCAATCACTGGTTACTGCCCCCCCCCCCAAAAAAAAAATAGTTGGAGGGGATGGCACAAAAATTCACTATTATTTCCAGAATGAAGATGTTAAAAGCAGAGACAATTAGAATGTGAAATATTTAGAAAAATAAAATCAGACAAAGGATAAGACAAGAGAAATAAAAGGTGGGGAAGGAATAGAGGAAAGTAGGAGATGATAACCCTTATCTGCAATGAGCAAAGCAGGCTAAACACAAGGCATCAGATCAATTTAGGTATTCTTACCAAATAACCAAGACTGTAGCTAAAATCTTCAGCACCAATCTGTAGGTCCCCAGAAGTCCTAACTGACCTCCACACTTAGCCACAATGAAGTCATGAAATATTTTTAAGCAACTTGCTGAGTTCTCTCTCTTTTCCTTCTTTCTGTTTCCGATGGTAAAGTCAGCCTCATGATCTAGACCACTGTCTTGAGTTCAACAGGAAGAGTTTCTAAGTGAGTCATTTTAAAGTGGCTCAGATAAGAAAAGAAGAACAAAGTGAGAGAGTTCTAGTGAAATGTGTTTTTTTGCAGGACACAGAGTACAATTAGGGAAAGAGAACTTTTTTTTTTTTTTTAAAGAGAGAGAGAGAGAGAGAGAGAGAATTTTAATATTTATTTTTTAGTTTTCGGTGGACACAATATCTTTGTTTGTATGTGGTGCTGAGGATCGAATCCGGGCCGCATGCATGCCAGGCGAGCGTGCTACCACTTGAGCCACATCCCCAGCCCAAAAGAGAATTTTTGTACATAAACTTCCCATTTTTATGACTTTTGCTTTTGTTTTGCTTTGTGAATGCAAAAAACTGACCCTATTGAGATGGGAGGATTAGAATGAGGGTGGTTATAGAGAAATAACATGCATAAATGCTTTTAATTAATCTCAGATAACATCTCTTTGAGGTTTAGTATGTGTTAAAAAAAAAAAAAAACATGCCAGGGATAGGGCAGTGGCTCAGTGTGAAAGCGCTTGCCTAGCATGTGTGGGGCACTGGGTTCAATTCTCAGAACCATAAATAAACAAACAAACAAACAAGCAAATAAATAAAGGTCCTTTGATAAATAAATATGCCATACCAAAATCATGATAAATTAAACATTCTAGTTCATAGAAATTTACAATCAAGAGGGAATATGTACTCACATGTGTACACACAGACTGTAGTATAACTCATACTTTGTGTAGTAATAGAAATGAAAATAGTACTAAAGTAATAGAACATAATAGGCAGGGGACAATATGGGAAAGTCTTAAGGTAGATATAAGATGTGAGCAAGTCCTTAAATAACTATAGAACTTCTAGAGGCAGAATAAAGTGAAAAGGTGAAAGCATATGTGAATCATAGCCAAAGGCAGGTAGGTGGGAGAGTGCAGCCAATGGTGGAATATGGTGAAAGTTGAGGTTATGATTCATCAGGAAGGAGTGCAAAAGACTGAAGATGACTCCTGTTTAAAGTACACACAGTAAGGAATTCTTCCTCCCTCACATCATTCTTTCACATATTTGTGAACACTGTTGTCTGATGAATTCTTCATTCCAAATTGATAAACGTATCTAAACAATGACATCAGCTCCTCCTCTTGTTTTCAGTCAAATCATCCACATTGGTTTATTTTTGAAGCAGAAAGACCTAACAAAAATGCTAAGAACTGAATAGTGTTTAAGTTATTTCTATTGTTATTATAATCTAATTAAAAATAGTACATACATATAAAATGATAAATTGAAATAATGCAGAAATAGAAAAGATTAAAAAATGGAAGCTTTCATTTTTCAGTATGACTAGAAATTATGTAACCCAAAGCTTGGTTCTCCTTCTCAATGCCAATCTAATAACAAAGCAAGGTCTTGAGAAAAAAAGGAAAAAGAAGATTTGTTGCTTTTCTAGCAAAGGAAAAACACAAGGGACTCCTGTCCCAAAGGTTTTAATTCTGCCCATCAGCAGGAACAGGGGGTTTTATAGAGGTGATTCAGAGAAAAAACGAAATTAGGGAGGAGAGATCAATCGGGAAGGAGAAGTTTAGGGAAAAGAAGATCAGGAAGGAGAAACTTAAGGAAAAGAAGATTGGGGAAAAAGAAAAAAAATGTAAATTTTAAAACCACAAGGAATATAGTCAAAGTATCAAGTGAACCCCTGTTACAGTAACAATTTTAAATAGACTAATGTTCATTCTTTCTGATTTTTTCTAAATATAGCACATATTTTTTTTTAAAAAGTATAGTTTGTAAAAAAATGGGACTACAATTTATATGTGATTATATGACTTGGATTTTCATTTAATAATATATCAGGACAAATTTCTATGCATTTAATTATTTTTTGTTTTCTTTCCCTCTAATATTTGGAAATATTAAGTGACAAATGTATTCAGAGCACACACAAAAGAGTGACATGATTAGTGTGTGTGCTCATGTGTGTATTCTATGTATTTATTTATGGTACTGGGGTACTCAACCACTAAGCTACACCAAGAGCCCTTTTTATTTTGTGACAGTCTCACTATGCTGCCCAGGCTGTCCTTGAACTTGTGATCTTCTTGCCTTAACCTCCCCAGTAGCTGGGATTGATTATAGGCGTGCACCACCATGCTCAGTGATGAGCATATCTTTTAAACTTTCAGAAGATAAAGTTTTTACCACCATGTCCGATATCATAAACATGTACTTTGGTCCCACTATAAACACAATTTTCTGCTCTGTAGGGGATGCAGAAGCTTTGAGAAATCTATGTAATGATATACAGTGGGAACTGCTAGGAGGGTACAATATACTTGGGGAACATGGAATTCTTACTGAAGCAAACAAGAAGGTGATTCATTGAAGAAGCAGCACTTGAGCTGGGCTTTAAGAAAGAATACAATTTGACAGAAAAATAGTAGTGCTTAAATAATAATTTATCTGTTTCTCTGTTCTACTAGACCATGAGTTTGGATCTCCAGTGCGCAGTATAAAATGATTAGGCACCAATGCATGAATAAATGTTTGAAAATGATGTTGACATCTGAATATTATTCAGAGAGTTCATATGAGTCCTTAAAGTTTTTTTTCTGATGTGGATTCAGTTTTATTGATTTCATTTCTTTAAAGATTATATAGCACTTCAAACCACTTTGAGAAACTCTCAGCTGTGATTCCTGGGTTTTCAGTTCAGGAAGGAAAATATTTTTTTCCTTTTCTTTTGTTTTTGGAGATAGGGTCCCACTATATTATAGCCCAGATTTGCCTTGAACTCCCCATCCTCCTGCCTCAGTCTCCTGAGTAGCTGGGATTGTAGGCCCAGGTCACTGTCTCTGCCTGGGAGATTTTATTCATTTGCTGTTTATTTATTTATTTTTTAGGTGCAGGGCTGCAACCCAGGACTGTACATACACTCAGCAAGCAAGCACTCTACCATTGTGCTATATCATCCCATCATGGGAAGGAAATTATTGAAAGCATCTTGTGAATAGTGTTTCTGTTTTTGGATGTATTAAGTAAGTATAAATATTTTGTATATTGACATGAAAAACTCTAGGGGAATTTATATGTTTCACTTCTGTTTTTTTTTAATATCTAAATATAAATTTCTAAGCAGAGATTAGATGACTTGGGTAAAAATGAAATCTTTTTCTTTTTGGTACCAGGGATTGAACCCAGTGTGCTTAGCCACTGAGCCACATCTTTAGGACTATTTATTTATTTATTTAGAGACAGGGTCTCACTCAGTTGCTGAGACTGGCTTTGAACTTTCTATCCTCCTGCCTTAACCTTGCTGATTACTGGGATTACGGTGGTGACTGGCTAAAAATGAAATCTTGAATATATATTAAAAGATAGCTATGAATCATTAATTAATTCTATATTGTCATTGATGGAGATCTACATTAAAGTTCATTTGGACAAAATAAAAATTTTAGAATCATAGAATTTCTAGCCTATTTTGTCTGAGAGATTTAATAATAAACATATGAGAAAGTTACTGTCTTTAAGGACCTCCTGGGAAATGATTAGATCCATTATTAGATCATGTGAAAAAAAATCTATATTCTAAATAAATATAACCAAACACAAAAACTGTGGATGACACAGATAAATTCTATTACTGGTCAGTAAAGGGAAATAAAGTTGGTGGTTAAAATTAACTGGAGGCAGGGTATAGTGGAGCACGCCTATAATCCCAGCTGCTCAGGAGGCTGAGGCAGGAGGATCAAAAGTTCAAAGGCAGCCTCAGCAATTTAGTGAGGCCCTAAGCACCTCAGTGAGACCCTGTCTTTACATAAAATACAAAAAAGGGCTGGGGATGTAGCTCAGTAATTAAGCACTCCGGGTTTAATCCTCAGTAACCCCCCAAAAGAGAAAATTTATAATTAAAAAATTTGAAACAAAAGCAAGAAGTGAGAAAGGAAAATCAGTTACCTTCTGATTCCAGTATCAGCAGACAACTCTGGGGGGGCTCCTGCAATGGAGATGCAGGTTTGGCATGGCTGCTGGCAGCTGTGGGTTCCAGCACGATTACTGGTTCTTAGAGCAGCAGTAGAAGAGGCAATAGGACTACAAGTTCCTAGACTCTTGTTAAGCTGCAGCAAGAGCCTCTAACCACATTTGCCCATTCTAGTTTATATTCTTTTTAAAAAAATTATTTATTTATTCTAATTTATTATATATGATGGCAGAATGCAATTCATTTCATATTACACATATAGAGCACAATTTTTTAAGTCACTGATTGTACACAAAGTATTTTCACACCATTTGTGTCTTCATATATGTACTTAGGGTAATGATATCTAAATCATTTAACCATCATTCCTACCCTCTTGCCCCCTCCCTCCCCCTCCTTCCTAGTTTATATTCTTTTATATTTTTATTTTCCAATTCTAGGGAAGCAACCTTCTGCAGTTTTTTTGTTTGTTTGTTTTTGTACTGGAGATTGAACTTAGGGGCACTCAACCACTGAGCCACATCCCCAGCCCTATTTTGTATTTTATTTAGAGACAGGGTCTCACTGAGTTGCCTAGAACCTCACTAAATTGCTGAGGCTGGTTTTGAACTCGAGATCTTCCTGTCTCAGCCTTCCAAGCTGGTGAGATTATAGGTTGTGCCGCCATTCCCGTCTGCAATTTTTAATGTAGTAGTATATTATTGTAGGTGACTCTCATAAATGTAGGTCAAGATAAATTTTTGAGTCAATTACAGACAGGATCTGGTTAAGTTGCTTAGAACCTTTCTAAATTGCTGAGGCTGGCCTCAAACTCACAATCATGCCTCAGACTCCTGAGCTGCTGAGATTATAGGTGTGCGCCACTGAGCGCAACTTTAAAATCTTTTTGATTCATTAATATTGACTTTCTAACAACAACACTATAACTTATGCCTGGAAAAGGTTTATCTCACATACTTACTTTCTCTGTAAGGTACATCAAAGT